AGCGGCAACTCCAACGCCCGGGTCCTCAGCACCAGTAGCAGCTCCAACGCCCGGGTCCGCAGCACCAGCGGCAGCTCCAACGCCTGGGTCCTCAACACCAGCAGCAGCTCCAACGCCCGGGTCCTCAGCACCAGCAGCGGCTCCAACTCCCGGGTCCTCAGCACCAGCAGCAGCTCCAACGCCCGGGTCCTCAGCACCAGCGGCAGCTCCAACGCCTGGGTCCTCATCACCAACAGCAGCTCCAACGCCCGGGTCCTCAGTACCACCAGCAGCTCCAACGCCCGGGTCTTCAGCACCAGCAGCACCTCCAACAGCAGCGGGGTCCGTAACACCAGGCACGCCACTCCGAAGAGTGCAGCGCCGCTCGTACCACTCACGGATCCGCTCGCGGGAGGGGAGCTCCCGAACGGGAGAAGAAGCACTAGCACCAGTCCCAGTAGTACGTCCGGCTCGAGCGGTACCTCTCCGAAGGCTGCAGTACTCTAAGTACCACGCACGCAGCTGCTCCGAGGAGAGGGCTCCTCCAGGTGCAGGACTCCCAGGCCTAGTACCTCCAGACTCAGAACCCCCAGACTCCGGACTCCGCAGCTCAGCACCACTAGGCTCCACACCCCCAAGCTCAGCACCCTCAAGCTCCACACCCCCAGGCTCCACACCCCCAGGCTCCACACCCCCAGGCTCCACACCCCCAGGCTCCACACCCCTAGGCTCAGCACCCCCAGGCTCAGCACCCCCAGCAGGACGAGAGTCGACAGCTACCTCAACAGGCTCAACCGGGTCTACCTGAGACACACCTGAGGGAGCGGCACCCTGAGGGGGGAGGGGGTCTGCAACAGCAGCACCTGGCGCGAGGAAGAGAGGCGGGGGGGGGAGCGGGGCGGTGCGGTAGGGGAAGAGGCGGTAGTAGGGGACAGACTCGTCAAAAGTGACGTCCTGGGAGGGCAAGACTCGGCGCGAGGTGGCGTGGTAAAACTGCCAACCAGACGCGTCCGGGACAAAGCCGAGGAAGACGCAGGGAACAGCACGGGAGGAGAGCTTGTCCGCAGACGAATCGCGGACAAAAGCTCGAGACCCCCAGACCCGGAAACGCGACGCATCGCCAACCTCCCCCGTCCACAGCAGCGTGGGCGAGGTCTCCGGCAAGGAGACACGGGGCCAGAGGTTGAGCTGATGCGCAGCGTACCGGACCGCAAACGGCCACAGAAAGTGGGGGGCAGCCGCATGGATCAAGGAGGTACGGGCGACCTCCATGACCAGGCCAATGCGGCGCTCCGCAACCCCATTCTGCTGTGGAGAAGCCGGAAGCGTGAACGACTGCTCAATGCCGTGCTCAGCACAGTAGGCTGCCAAGAGGTCGGAGGAGAACTCACCACCTCTGTCAGAGTGCAAGCGCAGGACAGGAAAGTCCGAGTGAAAACGCTCGCTGAGCTGGAGACGGGCTCTGCGGATCCAAGGGATCAAGACATCAGGGACCTCACCCTTGGTGCGCAAGGGGAAGACCGAGGTGTAGCGCGAGTAGTCGTCAACAACTATCAGGAAGTACCTCTCCTGACCCTGACCACGGACGCGGGCTGGGCCCCACACGTCCATGTGGAGTGTCTGCAAGGGAGCAGTCGTCGGGGGGAACGAGGAGGAGTGAGGAGCGGCGCGCTGCCGTCCCTCGACACAGGGGAGACAGGTAGGAGCAGGCGAGGGTGGGAGGGGAGGAAGGACCCTGGGCAGGCCAGAGACAAGGTACCGGGAGTGCATGGCACAAAGCCGCTGCACAGACGGGTGGCCAAGGCGTTGGTGCCAGAGGACAGTCTCGTGTGCCAAAGAGCGACACGAGCAGGGGGCGGACAGCTGACCTGACGCGGACGTGGACGCAGTCGCAGCAACCTGAGGGGACTCAGTAGTCAGTGTGTACAGGTCCGACCCCGGCTGCCGAGTGAAGGTAGCCAAGTGACGGCCCGTACGAGCACACGTGCAGTGTGTCACGCGCTCGTAGGCAGGAGTGAACTGGTGAACACCCCCGTCCTGGAGTGCACATCCTGCCACCAAGTTCGTAGAGAACGAGGGGAGGTGGAGACCTGACAGTGTGCCCGACGGGACCGCAGGGCAGGGAAGGACAGTGGAAGAGGTCGCAATGACCGGACCCCCAGAGGGGTCAGCAAGGGAGACAGCAACTGGCCGAGCAAGCAGCTCAAGGGCAGTGCGGTCACAAAAGAAGCAGCGAGAAGCACCTGAGTCCAGTGTGAAGGTGTGCAGTGCGGCAGTCGACGCAGTACCAAGGGGGGGAGAAACACGAGCACCTAGAGCAGCAGCCTCACCAGCACCTGGGGTAGCCGACACGCGAGTACCTGGAGCGGCAGACGCACTGGCCCTAATGCCCGGGTCGGGCGGCACACACAAGTACTCAGCACCCTCTCCACTAGTAGACATCACATACATGGCAGATAGAATAGCATCAAAGTCTAGAGCATAGATATCAATCCCCTTCTTCAGGAGATCAAGCCAGCGGGGCAGCTCAGTGGCCTGAGGGAACTGAACACGCCAAGCGTCGTCGAGACGAGAGAAGCAGCGCTGTGTGGCGTGCGGTCGTCCACACTGCTGACCAGTGCGGTCACCAGTGCGAATGACGTACGTGCAGCTAAGACCACCCCCACCCCCGTGCTGAGAGTACCACTCACGGACCTCCTGGGGCGAGGGAGTGTGCTGCTGGCCCTGGCCACCGCCAGTGCCTCCACGGCCACCACCACCGCTGCCACCTCCTCGACCACCCCAACCCCTGCCGCCGCCTCGTCCACCGCCACCCCAACCGCTGCCTCCACTCCTGCCACCTCCCCCGCCGCTGCCGCCACCACCCCCACCGCTACCACTCGCCCCTCCAGCCGAGCCACCACCCCCACTGCCTCCACCGCCCCCACCGCCGCCTCCCCCGCCGTCACCGCCACCACCCTTGCCCCCTTTGCCCTTGCCGCTGCGGCGTCCGCTCGAGGCAGACGCAGCGCCGACCTTCTCAGTACCAAGAAGGTCGACAGCAGCAGCAGAGGCGACAGAGGGAAGAAGGGGGGAAGGAGAACACCCCTCAAAGAACAGGGTACGGGGGTCGCCACGAGAGGCACCTACAGCGACTATGCTAGTCTCAGCTACAAGTAGCTCCTTCTCGAGGAGGGCAATGGTGAGCTCAGTGGGGCAACGAGCTAGGAAGTGGTCCCTGACAGCACGCAGTGTGTCAGGGAGGCGTGTGACTAGGTGGTAGAGAGTGAGCCAGAGTGGAGGGGGGTGCGTGGCAAGGAACTCAGCAGGCATGGCGGCACGGAAGCGGGCCTCACTAGTACGGAGGTGCGTGATGAGGTCAGCGACTGTGTGAAAGGAGGCCAGGTCGGGAAACAGGTAGGGGAGGGAGAGACGGCCTAGTGCGGCAGAGGCAGGTGAGGAGTAGCGAGCAACTACAGCTGTGTACAGTGCATGTGCAGTCTTGTGCTGACCAAAGTGCTCGCGTTCGTCTATCGGCAGGGAGTTGCGAATGACGAAGCGAGCGTGGGCATCACGAGTCTGCCACTGTGAGCGAGCAGTGCTGTTAGCAGTAGCAGCAGGGGCAGTGACATGGCCTAGGGCGTGATCGTACAGTGAGATGTCATCCTTGGCTGTGAGCTGTAGGTAGAGGTGCAGGTCATCGAGCCAGGTGTCAAACTTCACAGGGCGGCCCTCAGCATCGAACACAAGAACCTGTGGGCTAGCCATAGGAACAGTAGAAATAGCAGCAGTAGCAGTAGGAGAAGCAGGTAGGACGAACCAGGTAGGGCAGGGCGGCGCGGCTTGGTTCAGGTCGGGTCGCGGCTCGGCTGGGTGGCGCGGCTCGGTTCAGGGCGCGCGGCTCGGCTCGGGGCGCGCGGCTCGGGTCGCGCGGCTCGGGTCACGGCGGGGACGGGCCGCCCGCTCTCCCTCGTGTGCTGCGGCGGGAACGGGCCGCCCGGGGCCTCTAGGTGGTGGGCACGGGTCGGCGAGGTCGGCACGGGGCCGGTTGGGGCCCTAGAGGGGCGAGCGCGGAGCCGATCGGGGCCTGAGCGGGGCTAGCGCGGGGCCAAACGGGGCCTTGACGGGGCTAGCAAGGGGCCGACGGGGCCTGAACGGGGCTAGCGCGGGGCCAACGGGGCCTGAAACGGGGCTGACGGGGCCTGAAACGGGGCTAGCGCGGGCCCGATCGGGGCCTGAATGGGGCTAGCGCGGGGCCGACGGGGCCTGAAACGGGGCTAGCGCGGGCCGACGGGGCCTGAGAGGGGCTAGCGCGGGGCCGACGGGGCCTGAAACGGGGCCAACGGGGCCTGAAACGGGGCTAGCGCGGGCCGACGGGGCCTGAGAGGGGCTAGCGCGGGGCCGACGGGGCTTGAAACGGGGCCGACGGGGCCTGAACGGGGCTAGCGCGGGGCCTCAACGGGGCCTTAAAGGGGCCGACGGGGCCTGAACGGGGCCGCTAGGGAGAGCGGGCGTGGGGCCGACGGGGCCTGAACGGGGCTAGCGCGGGGCCGTCAAGAGGGGCCTCTTGGGGCGTGACACGCCGAGGCGCCCTAGGGCACAGGTAGGTAGGTAGGTAGGTAGTTACGTAGTGGTGGGCCCTTAGAAAATTTCGGTCCTAGGAAGGACCTGCTCTATACCATGTTGGAATCACTGAACAGGAATGGATGAACTAGCAGTGAAATGAGTACAAGTACCTAACCCTAGAATTGTGTACCCCCTATAGGCTAACCCACTGTAGCCTAAACTAACACAACATGTATAATATTTGACAAATAGCCCAGGCGACAAGGCGACATGGACGTTGGAAACTCACATCACGGATGGGGGCGGCAAGACTCTCCATGCGTTCGGAGAGGACTTTGGCGAAAGGAGGCGCAGCCGTCCACTGCCTTCCCCCACGGTTCAACTCCGCCTTCACGCATTCGCCGAAAAACCTGCGCTACGAGACGGAAAAGAGCCATCTGACAAGGCGGCATGAACGCCGTTAAGGAGCGGCGCGACTAGCCGTCGACGTTGTCCCACCTCAGAACGTTGGCTGCCTCCTCCTCGTGCCGCTTGGAGGAGGTTTTGGGGTCGAGGTGGCGGTAGAACGTCCCGATCTCCTCCTCGTCGGGCAAAAGCAGGTCGCCAGGGCGCACAACAAGCAGGACGCTGCAGTGCCTGCCGGGAAGAGGTCCGCCACTGCCCACACAAGCACGACGGAGACATTCAGGGTTCTGTCCGGGAACAACAAGCAACGCGGTCGGCGTGGATCAAACCTCACGGGCGCGGAACACTCACCTGGTGCACAGGGGGATGGCGAGGGCTTCGAAGCCGAAGGCCGACCCGAAAATCAGATGGTCCGCCTTCGACGCCGTCCTGGCAGCGCGAAGACTCGCACCGCGGATCAGGATCATCTTGTCGCCTTTTCCCAGACGATCGAGCTCGTACCTGGGACAACCGGGGGCGAAAAGGCGGGAGCGAAACACTTGCGCGGTGAGCTACAATCCATGCCGGGCGCCGGGGTAAAGCGCGGACAGCAAGACAAGCGGACTCGGACCAAGGTTTCGCACGACGGCGATGTCGCCGGCAGCATGACGGACGTCACCGACGTAGGGCCAATGGTCGAGGACAGGCAAACTAGTTAATAGGACGACGCAGCGCCAAAACGTCCATCGCAGACGGACATCGTCGACCACGCGGAAAAACGACAAGGCCAACGTCGACCTAGAAAGGACGCCGACGAAAACGCGCAGGACAAGGACGAACAACGCGACCTAGGGATGCGCGCTCACGCGAGGCCGAGGTCGAAGCAAGGTTCTGTGAACTCGGCCTTCTCGTCGCGAAGGACTTCGTAGTCCTTCATCTCAAGCGTCACCCCGTACCCACCGATGCCCACTGGCACGTGGAGGGGGAATTCAGTCGCAGGCAGTGCTATCCTACTGGTCGCCATGCTAACACCACTGTCGGTATCACGGAAGGTTTGGGGAGGAGCGCGGAGAGCTGACAGGGAGGCAGAGGAAATCGGAAAGCGAAGTTGGAAAGGAGAAATGACGGATGGAGTGGGACCCCCCATCAAGAAAAGGGCGTGGGCCGTCGGTCGCCTAGTATGCAGCTCGGCGGACGAGGCAGGTCGTCGTGGCCGAGGGCGAGCCTCCGGCTTCGGCCCGTACCGGGCATGCCCTCGAGGGCGGGGTTCGGAAAGGGCGGAGGTGGGTGGTTTGTGTGGGCCGTGCGTGGGGGTGGTCGGGGTGGCGAGGGCGAGCCACGTGTCCCCTCCCGAGGGGCCAGCGATGTTGACGAGGGTGGGGTCGGGCCCTTTGAATTTCGCAACCAACCCGCCTGCCCGGCGAGGGCAGCCCGAGAGGGTTACTAGGGCCTCGCGGGCAACGCGAAGCGAATGTCCGCCTCCGTGAAGGGGTAACTAGGCCCCTCGTCGCTCACGCGCGAGTTCGCCACCCCTCGGCTGCAACGTGGGGTTCTGTAGGAATTGGGGGTGGGGGGCCGGGGCGGGGGGCGTTGGCAGAGCCCCGCCCCGCGCCAGCCTGGCGGGGGATTCACGCGAGGGAGCTGGCCGCCCTGACGCTCGGTCGACCGTCACCCCCCTGCGTCGTCCCAGGCAGAACGGGTGCGTCACCCCGAATTCCGATGAGCGATTCAGCAGAATGTCGACGGCGGTCGGGGTCGACTCCTCGTCGTCTGCCCGACGCTTGTTCCGGCGTTCGCCCGCGGGTTCGCGGATAGTATTTCCGTCGTCGGGACGAATTGAAGCGTTGGCGTTGTCACCGTTCTCGCCGTTAAGTGCCATAGTAGCCGCGTTATGAGCGAAAATGTCCGAAAGGAGTGTGGACGGAGACTGGAAACGAGGTAGTGACTTCAATTTCGCCAGCTTGGAATTGGGAACCCGGAAACTAGGCTAAGCCGTTTGAAAATGAAAGACGTGGGTGGAGGGAAATGACCTCCAGCCCACGTTTTGTACTCCAAAACGGGCGTTTAGCGCGGTTCGCCGATGACCATTGCTACATTACAAGCCGCTTCGCTTTCAAAATACAAAATTTTGAAAAGCGTTACAACTTTTAAAAATATTCATGACCTAGTACTGGAGTGTGAGAGCTGTCCTCACTGGATGGGTCATTTGCGAGGGTGTTTAAAACCGGAGGTCCAAGAGTTTCTAAGTTAGGAAGATTGAAAGGGGAGAGAAAGGTGTCTCGCTCGCGAGCCAGGGTGGTGTCTGGGGTCGTTAAGGAAGAAAATTTCGTGAAAATAACCAGATCTGGAATGCAACATCAGAACTGGTTCGCAGACAGTTTCGGACAGGCTTCAAATTTAGAAAGCTTGCTTTCTCTTATCATTTGGCATCGTTCTCATTTCAACTGGCAAATTACAACATGCACCTCGAGCTAGGAAACAGAAGTGCTAGTACATGTTACTATACTGCGTATCAATCATTGTACTAGCGATTCCTCATGCTACTTGATGTCTATCATGCTACAAGCTATCGATCTTCTCGTTCAAGCAGCGTCGATGATGCCCGTCAGTGTTGGGGCGGGGGGTGGGAGAGTTGCATGAGCCGTTGGAAAACGAGAGACGTGGGTGGAGGGAAATGAGCTCCAACCCACGATTTGTACGGTAGTTGGAGAAGGGCGTTTAGCGCGCTTCGACGATGCCAAAACATGCGTTACAAGCAGCTGCGCTTTCGAAATACGTAATTTTGAAAAACACTTCGTGTGTTTAAAAATTATAATATTTGTTGACAAAATCGTCACTGCTTTCGTCCTCGCTAGAACAGTAGTTTCGCGTGACGAAAATTGTCCCCCCGATTTGCGAAGTGAGTCGTCTACTGCATCACCCCTTCTCAAAGTTACAAGGTTGAGGCACTGAGGGGCTGTTTGGGACGCCGGTTTTAAAGCAGGCAAGCACATTTCGATACAATCACAGTACCATCAATCTTAGTACCTAACTCATTACCCGCAACTGAGTGCATTGCTCATAAAACAGTCAATTAATGGATGCGGATTTACAAGGCGGATGAGAGGGTAGAGCAGCAACCACCTACCGTATCACCTGTTACTACTATTTCTGACAATAATCTTTCTCCGTCCAGAGTCCATCAGGTTCTGGTGTCAGTCCCGGATAGTCATGTGGACGTCCTTGAAAGTAAGCAGGATAAATACCGATTAGTCAGAAGTACGAATCCTCGCTTAGCTTGCGCCCAAGCAGAGATTGATGGCTTCAGATTCGACGATGAACGTCAACCTTCATTGATGTCGTCGCGCCGAGTGCACAGCTTGAAAATGCTCGGCCGAAGTTAAAGGATCGCCAGGACCTTAGATGAAGCCAGCGAGCTCGTGAAATGTCAGCATCCAAATTATATTAAGTTGCAATGATGTTGCCGCTAGATGATGCTTTCAGTGATTCTCCAGCAAAGTCGTCACAGTGCTGGAATTCGAATTACCCGTTGACATCGACATTGCCGAGTCAGATTCCGCCAACGAAAAGTCAAGACGACGAATGAAGCCGCGGGAAAGCGGTTTCTGCGAGGCGCCGAAGACCTTGAACGTTCCTTTGCTCTTGACAGGTGCTCCGGGACAGATGAGGACGGAAGCACGCGTACTCAACGGCGTACCGACAACCTCAACGTTAATGCAGCCGGTTTGCCGTCCACGGGACCGTTTTACCGACAGGCGAGGCGTGGCTGCGCCTGAGTCTCTCGATTCAGTCACATTAGCTGCGAAGTTCGACCCGGAGAAGTCGACTGCCGTGAGATCGTTCATGCTCTTGCATCGAAGCTGCATCGAGCCCGCCATTCCAAAAGAAGAATTTGGCAGGAGATTGGCCGTAAACGCCGGAGCCATGAGGTAGGATATGTAGGGGGGTTGAGCTACAGATGCACGTGAACTGAAGATAGGCGAGTGAAACGGAATTTAGCTCACTGACGAACATGAACATATAGGTGGTCGCCTGACGTCTGAGCGGTGCACGAATGTCAACGACCAACAGACGGAGAAGAACGCGGAAACAATCCACAAATCGAAGGGACGGTGCCAACTCAGAAGGACGTATCAGTCAAGAAACAGCTACGGTGAAAGCTAGCAAATGTCAGACACAGAGCATCAACTGAAAATGCAGCTGCAGCATTCAGCTGTATTTGTGCTGGAGACAGGGAAGCTGTGGGGGAGGGGGGAGAAAGAAAGGAAGGAGAAGGGGGGAGCGGGGAGGTGTGGGGGAAGTTTGGAGGAAGAAGTTTGGGGAATGGGGGAGGTGTGGGGGAAGTTTGGGGGAAGAAATGGGTTTGCGGGGTTGATTTCGTAGCAATAACGGCAACGAGGGTGCATATCCCGCGCCAGGTGGGGTGAAGAGGGGTGGGGAAAGGTAGGAAAAGAGGAAGGGGTCAGAAGGAATGGGATGGGACCAAGGGGTTCCAGTCATAGCTGAAATAATTGGCAGGGGGGAAGAGGGGGAAAGGGCTTTGGGGGACGATAAGAGACAAAGCTGTGCTTGCGTTGACCTCACCCTCGATTTATGATGACGCCACGAGTGCGTTGATTGGTTGAGCCGGTTTTCGAAGAACCTGAGGAAACCGCAACAACGCCGAAATCTGGTTTACGATACCGGCTTTGTGAATGAGGGGGACGAACATCGCTAGGCTTGCTGGGTTCGGTTAGGTGAGGTGAGGTTTGGGAGGTGCAGTGGAGGGGCCACGTCAGGCCCACGCGTGAGCCGAGTTCGTTTGGCTGGAAATTCAAGCTGGAAGCCATTCGAATTTCCCGCTGATGGTCAGGTGTCACCCGATTGTCGACATATGAAATTCCACCCCACCTGTCCAATGTCAACACTACAGTGCGGAGCAGTCCCATACGATTCCGCCCCATGGGTTGGGCTCCAGTTCCTACTTCAACGGGGTGCCAGCAAAAGAAGCTTCCGCGAAGTAGATGAGTTTGAGATGGATGAACTCACCCTACTCAGCAAGTATGCATAGCAGGCCTATTAAAAATTGACATATATTACGAGTCCGCAAAAGCGCCGCACTGAAAACCAAAGCTGCTATTTAGCAAACAAACAAAATTGGCGTGCTGCCTTGGATCACCAGTACTCCTCAAAGCGTTCAGCTTGTCACTAAAGAAAGTGCTCCAACCTACGAATACATCTCTGGGACTCCCAGCATTCACACAGTCTCGACTGTAGAAGGATGCATCGTATTTAGCCCGAAAGCCCCGATGCATACAGTTTTGTGCCCTAAAACTACCACCAGCAGCCGCGCTTGGCACAATGACGTCAAGAAAGCGTGTGGCTGTTAGGACATAACTGCTGCCACCAATCTGTGACTGTAATCCACGTCAGGTTCGTGAAGCGATCTGACGATATCACTTCTGCATGCAGTAAGGAATTATTTCATTTCAAGAACAACAGCCCAGCAAATGCGTGATGCCTGGTTCTGCTGAGAGTGGAGGACCGCGGTAAAACTGTTGAAGCCCTGCCTGTAAACTGCACTAGACACTTTGAACTCTATTTACATAAGCAGATACTTGCTAGGTTCAACTAAGGATAAAATTTTACACTACTACCAGTGCGCGAGTACAGTACTTTCGTTTCTGTTAATGTTCAGTCCAGCAGAGATGAGAGATCGCCGCTGGCGTGCCAACCAGCTTCACACAGTCAGCACGAGGCTGATCAATGATGGCTCACGTGATTCGGCTATTAGATGCGGTGTGAAAGGTCGGATTCTGCTCCGTATTCTCAGGCCATTTTTATTCCAAGGTGCAATAGGTGAGGTGGTGAGGAGGACGCCAATTATTTTGAGCCAGTGATTAAGGGAGGCCCAATACTAGCTGTGGCCGATTTCCGAATATTAAGTAGGCGGCCACAACACTAAGTGTGGCTCCTTTTCGCGCTGAGTTTAAAAAACGAGTGAAACCAGATTGCGATGCGAACAACCTTGAAGCCAGCCCATTTCCTGAACAGTCCCCGCTTCTCTGAGGTTCCAGAATTGGGACCAAATACGTTCCATTGCGTTGTTTCGGGAGAAAATTTGGCCACGTCAAGCCCACGGCATCGCAATCAGCGACCGTCATAAATGCATATAAAACTGTGGGTTACTGTGTACACTATATGAACAGCCCCCACATCTGTCTAGGCGTGGCTTTGCCAGGCTGGCTGGCACCCCGACGAGCAGCAAACAGACCTCCCCCCACCCCATCCCCTTCCCCAACCTCTGATTCCAGAGCCACTAGTTTCCGATAAGAATATTCTTCGAGAAAAGATTCTGTGCTCATTGCGAAGAACACTACCGGTACAATATCGCAATTTCGGCTCTTGATGCATTGTCCATAATATAGAGTATCTTCCATAGCTAAATATGTGACATGTAAGGTATCAGTTCAATCTAGCATGTAATGCCATTTTAGTGATACTGAATCCTCATCCCGTTCAAAGCAACGAGAAAGCACTATCAGGAGCAGCTCAACCTTCAAAGAATACAATGTACATCGCAAAAAAAAAAGTACATGAAGGTCAACCGCAACAACCATTCTGAAACATACTTGTAGCAAACAAGGTTACCGCCGAGGTGGAGGGGCACCTCGGCCCATCATGCCGCCGCCCATAGGCGCACCCCCATCTGGTGCTGCTCCCAGTGCTCCCCTTGCTGCAGACCTAGCTTTGGCTCGCATGGCCACGGCTCTGCCCCTGCCCACTCCCAAGTTGGACGACCCCTTGCCCTGAAGCAAACACCAAGGGGTTGGGTGGGATGCAAGGGGATTAAGCGTGTGTGTGGATAAAATATGCCCCTTGCTGCGGACCTAGCTTTGGCTCGCATTGCCATGGCTCTGCCCCTGCCCACTCCCAGGTTGGAAGACCCCTTGCCCTGATGCGCACACACACAGGGGGTTGGTTGGGAACGCAAAGAAATGAGTGCGTCTTTGGGGGAAAAAGGGAATGCCCCTTGCTGCAGACCTAGTGTTAGCTGCATGGCCATGGCTCTGCCCCTGCCCACTCCCAGGTTGGACGACCCCTTGCCCTGAAGCAACAAAGCACACGCACAAGGGGGATGGGATGCACGGAGGTTTGAGTGTGTGGGTATAATGGTATGCCCCTTGCTGTAGACCGGACCCTGGCTCGCATGGCCACGGCTCTGCCCCTGCCCACTCCCAGGTTGGACGACCCCTTGCCCTGAAGCACGCGCAGAGGAGTTGGGTTGGGTGGAACTGATAGTAGAGTGTGTGGGTGAGAGTGAGTATATGTGAGTGTGAGTATGTGGGGGTAAATAAATGAGTGAGGTTAAGCTCGCATGAAAAAAAAAAAATCCTGTCCAGGTTCGATGACCGTTTTCCCTGAAGCAGACACAAGGGGAATGGGTGGGGGAGCATTGGGTTGGAGATTGAACATTTGAGTCAGAGTGTGAATTTGTGACTGCGGGCCAGAGAGAGGAGAGAGGGAAAGAAGAGCGTAACGAGGATAGAGAGGTAGTGGGAACAATGTGAGCGAGATAAAAGAGAAAGCACCCTTGCAGTTAACTTCATGCACTTTCGAGACAAGAGAAGGGTGAGGGCAACACACAGAAAGGGATAGAGAGAGGGAGGGTAACAGAAGAGAGATGTGTGAGAGCAAGAAGAGGGGACGGAGGGCAAGAATTGACGGGGGAAGGTGGGGGGGGGGAAAGGGCGGGAGAGAACTAGAGACAAAGAGTAGCATACCTTGAGCTTGGCCTCCAGTCTTAAAAAAAAAAAAAGGTTTTGATACGTCTCAAAACCAACCTTCGTTCAAAGGGGAGGGGGAGGCGGGCGGAGATAGAGGGTAGCATATCTTGAGCTTGGCCTCCAGTCGTTTGAACATTTATGAGTCACCTCAAGAATTGAAGGTGGAAGGAGTGGGGGGAACGACCCGGAGGGGAGGGGGAAGTGGGAGGAGATCGAGCGTAGCATACCTTGAGCTTGGCTTCCAGTCGTTTGAACATGGGCGCATTCCGCAGCATGTCAGGGATGATGACGAAGCTGCAAAAACGGGGGGTTGCGGGAGGGGAGGAAGGGACAGGGAAGGAGGGGGATGAAATGAGCGAATGATAATCAGCTTCCAGTCGTTTGAACATGGGCGCATTCCGCAGCATGTCTAGGATGATGACGAAGCTGTAAGGAGGGGGAGGGGGAGGGGGAGGGGGAGGGGGAGGGGGGAGGGGGGAGGGGGAGGGGGAGGGGGAGGGGGAGGGGGAGGGGGGAGGGGGAGGGGGAGGAAGAGAGGGGGAAATGTTGGCAGGGAAGGAGAAAGGGAAGGAATTGGCTGATCAGCTTCGAGTTGTTTGAACATGGGCGCATTCCGCAGCATGTCTGGGATGATGACGAAGCTGTGAAGGGGGAGGAGAGGAGCGGGGAGTGGGGGAACGGGGACGATGAGTGCTTAAAGAGCTGATAAATCTATTAACTTGTTCAAACATGGGTGGATTTTTGCAGATTGTCGGGGTTTCAGGGTTTCGGGCACTAGAATGCAAGGGGGAAGAGTGGGGGGAAGGGGAGAGGAAGGGAGGGCAGGGGATTGAGGGAGCGAAGGAAGGGATCAGCTGATCCAAAGCATGTCTACGATAAGGACGAAAGGGAAGGGGCAGGTGGAGGGGCGAGGGTGGGGGAGGGGGATATAGGTAGACCGGGGAAGGAAGGGAGGGGTGAGAGACGAGGGAAGACGGGGAAGAAAGGGGAGGAAGGGGAATGAGGTGAGTGGGGGGAGGGAGGGGGAAAAATGATGAATGGGGAGGGGATGAGAAGGGGAGTGCGGGGAAAGGAGGGGGAAGGGAAAAAGGGGTGGGGGACAGGGAGGTGGGACGTTGAAGGGGGACGAAAGGGGAAAAAGGGGATGGAGGAGGGAGGAGGGGAAAGAGCGAGAAAAAGGGGAGAGAGAGCGGGAAGGTGGGACGGGGGAAGGCAAAACGGGATAGGGAGTGGGGAGAGGGGGGGGGAAAGCGGGAACATGGGAAGGGGAAAGCGGGAAGGGGGAAAGGGGAAGGGGGAAGGGGAAGGGGGAAAGGGGAGTAGGGAGAGTGGGGAAGGAGAGATAGGGAGCAAAGCAGCAGCAGAAGCAAAGGGATGAGAGGACAACGGTTGAAACATGGAGATACGGAGGGAAGAGCGTACAAAGGAAGAACAATACTTGGCGGGATATGGGAGGATGCGTTGAGCGAGTGGGGAGCGAGAAAGACGGGTAAGGGCATGAAGAGAAGAGAATCGGGGGAAGGGCATGGCGAAAAGTACGGGGGGAAGAGCACAGGGGGAAGAGAGGGGGGTAGAACGACCATAGAGGGATGCGCGGAAGAGCATGGGGGAAAGGAGAATTCATGGGAGGCGCAATAATCAGAACTTGCGGGGTAAGGCAGCAGCAGAGAGATAGGGCAGAGAAGCAAACGAAAAATAGGAGAGAGCGGGGCTTTGACTTGCGGGGTGTATGAGTACTCCTTAAAAAGCAACACTAGGTTTAGGTAATAACAATTCCTATCGGGTGTTGCTTACTGAACGAAGCTTCCCCTTATGAACACGTGCTCCAGCTGCAATATCTTGCCATGTATATGAATTATCGTTATAAGGCAACACTCGCTAAGACAACACTCGCTAGAAGGTAATATTTACCGAACAAAGCTCCCCCTTATGAACACGTGCTCCAGCTGCAATACCTTGCCGTCCTGAAGACACACGAAGAGGAAGGTAAAGAAACTTAGAATCCGGAGTGTTTCGATGATAAATGATCAGGCAATTGTTAACGACGACGACGAAGAAGCAAGCTAGGTTGCGAGCCTGTAGTGTGCGAGGGCGCGTCACTTAAGGACTAGGGTTTTGAAACAGCACACTCCACTTAACCGTCGTGCAACCGTGTTACCCAGGCAACTGTGACCCGTCCAACCAACCAAACATAAATCATATGCACTTTTGATCCGCATCGGCTAAAAAAACGCTCGCTCACTCACACCCCGACACACGCCACATCCGAAGCCGCTTCTTCTGAACCAAGACATCACTCCAACGAAAAACCCCGTTTTGAGTCGACTCAAAACTCGACTCATCCGTCGTCGCTTGTTCTGAACCATGACATCAGTCCAACGAAAAATCCCCTCCAAACACGACAACACATTTGATCATCCCATCCCCTCCACTGACTCCTCTTGCGGAGAGGAGAGATGGTGCGAACTGCGAAGAGATCTGAAGACATGAACTGCAGACGAGCAGGCGAGAATGAGATGTGACTGTAACGAGCGTACCTTCGCTGTGAATGTGATGTTATCCATTTGGCAGTTCCAGTTATCCTCGCAGTCCGTCAGCGTGCCTCGATATAACTCCCCGTTTTTCAACTCGATAGTAACAACGTGGCCTTGCGCCTCGTGCAGCAGCTTCACCGGAATCCCCAAAGACTTGCTCATTTTCTAATCGTTAGAAGGTGCTTAAACAGATTAGTGGAAAGTTTTATTCAACTCCCCCTTTAAAATTCCTACTTGCTGCTCGAGACAGTCGAACACACCAAAAAACGACTACGTCGCAATTAACTAGCGGATCTACGACGTCAAACAAGCTGAGCGCAACCAGCTGCGAGGATTCGCGTCGTGTTCTCTGGTGGGATCTGTTTTTCGTCGATAACTGCGAGCCCAGGATATCGGGCAGCTGCAGCGAGGGAGCGCTGATCAGCAGGGCGAGAAAACCCTAATCGCTGGATTGACGAGGAGAACAGGCTTGGAAATTAGTACCTCGAGAATGGATTTGTAGTTGTGCTGGTGAGGGGCGTAGCAACTGCTCGAAGTAGGCGCAGGATGTGTGTCCTGCCAAGAGTACATCCCAAAGCGGTTGGGTGAGATCGGTTGCGCGGCGGGGTGGTTTGATTGCTTTCTAAATGGTTGGGAGCAATCATGCGCTCATAAAAGCAACCAGTTATTACAGCTAACTGGTTAGGCAGTGCAAATATACTGCATATACTAAATTAGCACAAGTTTGATAACTAGCTTATTGCCCTCTCCCCGCCGAGCATCCCATCAAGCAGCTGAAGCTCGTCCTCCATGCTGCGTTGGGGTCCCGTACCTTGCCTCCGAACCTCTTTATCAATCTTGAGCAGCCTCGAATCCTTTGTCGACGCCTGAACTTCGAAGAAATCCCTTCTCAACACACCCAATTGCGCGACGACGTCAATCATGTGCGGCCGTGATGAACCCAAGAGCGACGTGCATTGCAGCGCAAGCTCGACCAGTTTGAGTAGAAGATTTCGGGGCACCGAGTCAAGATTGGGGTCCTTGAGGGCTTCTATGTCGTTTGCTTGCACACGCTTATCGACCTGATCACGTGGACAATAGAAGATAGGCAAGCAGAAGTGACACGCTGCCTGAATTTCCAGTAACGATCGAGAGGAAAAAGGAAATTGAACTTTTCAAAAGGAACACTTTTGAAAAAAAAAAAAACACACACACACATGAAGATGTACACTGTATACACTTACCCATGAAAGGTGAAATGAAAAAATACCTACAGGGCCAGTTACACTGTGTACACCTACCCAGTCTCGGATGTTGATTCCGCCACTCTCTTGCATCACAACAGGCTTGGTCAGCATGATCTCAAGCATCATCACACCGAAGCTGTTGGAAAGAGGGGATGGGATCAACACATTGGTACTCGGGTGTGGTCCAGGTCGACCCAGATCATGACAGGCTTGGTCAGCATGATCTCAAGCATCATCACACCGAAGCTGTTGGAAAGAGGGGATGGGATCAACACATTGGTACTCGGGTGTGGTCCAGGTCGACCCAGATCATGATAGGCTAGGTCAGCGGGATCTCAAGCATCATGACGCCGAAGCTGTTGGAAAGAGGGGATGGGATCAACACATTGGTACTCGGGTGTGGTCCAGGTCGACCCAGATCATGATAGGCTAGGCCAGCGGGATCTCAAGCATCATGACGCCGAAGCTGTTGGAAAGAGGGGATGAGATCAACACATTGGTACTCGGGTGTGGTCCAGGTCGACTCAGATCATGACAGGCTGGGTCAGCATGATCTCAAGCATCATCACACCGAAGCTGTTGGAAAGAGGGGATGGGATCAACACATTGGTACTCGGGTGTGGTCCAGGTCGACCCAGATCATGACAGGCTGGGTCAGCGGGATCTCAAGCATCATGACGCCGAAGCTGTTGGAAAGAGGGGATGAGATCAACACATTGGTACTCGGGTGTGGTCCAGGTCGACCCAGATCATGACAGGCTTGGTCAGCATGATCTCAAACATCATCACACCGAAGCTGTTGGAAAGAGGGGATGGGATCAACACATTGGTACTCGGGTGTGGTTCAGGTCGACCCAGATCATGACAGGCTGGGTCAGCGGGATCTCAAGCATCATCACACCGAAGCTGTTGGAAAGAGGGGATGAGATCAACACATTGGTACTCGGGTGTGGTCCAGGTCGACCCAGATCATGACAGGCTTGGTCAGCATGATCTCAAACATCATCACACCGAAGCTGTTGGAAAGAGGGGATGGGATCAACGCATTGGTACTCGGGTGTGGTCCAGGTCGACCCAGATCATGATAGGCTAGGTCAGCGGGATCTCAAGCATCATGACGCCGAAGCTGTTGGAAAGAGGGGATGGGATCAACACATTGGTACTCGGGTGTGGTCCAGGTCGACCCAGATCATGATAGGCTAGGCCAGCGGGATCTCAAGCATCATGACGCCGAAGCTGTTGGAAAGAGGGGATGAGATCAACACATTGGTACTCGGGTGTGGTCCAGGTCGACTCAGATCATGACAGGCTGGGTCAGCATGATCTCAAGCATCATCACACCGAAGCTGTTGGAAAGAGGGGATGGGATCAACACATTGGTACTCGGGTGTGGTCCAGGTCGACCCAGATCAATGACAGGCTGGGTCAGCGGGATCTCAAGCATCATGACGCCGAAGCTGTTGGAAAGAGGGGATGAGATCAACACATTGGTACTCGGGTGTGGTCCAGGTCGACCCAGATCATGACAGGCTTGGTCAGCATGATCTCAAACATCATCACACCGAAGCTGTTGGAAAGAGGGGATGGGATCAACACATTGGTACTCGGGTGTGGTTCAGGTCGACCCAGATCATGACAGGCTGGGTC